GACCAAAAAAAAAAAAAAAAAAAGCCTTTTTATATGCATATCATGTGCAACAAAAACAAACAAATCATAAGAACATCACTGGAACTGTGTGGGGGGAACTCCTGAAGAGTTTCTCCTACTCAAGTGATGGTAAACGGAAATTAATAGTATGCTGATCCTAACTACTAATTCAACACATGCACAGGGCCACTCGTACTCTATTCGTGTGGTATCTTCTTCTTTTATTTCAGTGAATATAAAATATGAGTAAGGGCTGGAGAGAAAAAAGGAGCCACCTACTAAACCTGACAAGCTCAGGGAAGTTCTGCATGGCGGCCTTATAAACTCAGAGACCAAAAGTAACCACAAGGGATGTCTGAACAGAAAACTTCCTAACTAAAAGCGAGTCCTGGGGGGCAGTCACATGCTAGGCCTGTAGCTTCCTTGACAAAGGTCAATCTTTACCTTTACTGAGCCTGTCTATTGTCTTTTTGCATCTATAATAACATACCCTTGTGTAATGTCCCTTTTTCCAGGGCACACCAACCCCTCACTATTATCTTGTTCCACTGTAAATGTTCATTATTAACCGTCCTGTACCCAGCCATGTAAAAGAAGTATTTATCTCTCCATTTTACCCAATCTCAGAGGTCTCCCTGCTTAGCTTCCTCCCGCCCCCCTAATCTACCACCAATGGATTTCAGGTAACCCTCCTTACGCCTTCTTCTTTGACTGTGATGTATAAAGTAAACTGCAAAACTGCATTCTCCCGAGCATTTTCTCAATCCATTGAGATTTTGCTTCCCAGCAGTTGCCATCAGTTTGGCTCAAATAAACTCACAAAAGTTCTCTCCAGGTTTGGACGTGTCTTGCGTGGGCAGGGCACATGTTACCTGTCCTGAGTCCCCCTGCTGCAGAGTCTCTACCTGAAAGGACCAGCTCCTTTTGGCGATGGGCGTCCCCATGGGGAACACCAGTGCTGTGCTGTGTTCTGGCGTCGGAGAGAACGGCAGAGCTGTTCGCCACTATACCAAATGCTTCCAGACCACTGTCTTTAAAAAAAATATTTCCTCTGCTTTTAAGAACAACTGTTATCTCCTCACTTGCTCTCACTGTCCTGAGAAAAGCAGTCGGGTGTTGCAGGTAAAAATTCAGGCCCTGGAGTCCCAAAGACCTCTGCAACTTTTTCCTGCTATAACCTCAGACAGTTACTCAAATCTTCCAGCCCTAGTGGCCTCAACTGTAAAATCAGCACAGAAGCATGTCTACTCCATGGGTGACTGTGAGGAATGTGCTGTCAAAGGTACGTGCGCATACCTGGTACTCGGCGACGCTCAGCCCATATCCGTCATGATGATAGTTTCCCTGTTCTCCCGAGGTCAGTGGGATTGTCTGTGGGAAGTAGCCTCATCTGCCCATTCTAAATGTGATTTCTGTTCTTTAGGCTTGGAAACCAATTATCAAACTTGCTGAATTATATGTTTTTTAAAAAGAGATTAAGTAGGCTCTGAGTGAAGAGCTAAAAGGCTCTCTCCATGGCCAAAGCAGCGGTTTTCAACTATTTTCTGCTATGTCATGTGCAAGACACCCTCTTGGGGGCCTAACCAGGATTCTATGTAATTTCACCTGGTTCTTTATCTGAATAAAAAAAAATCAGGATGGTTTCTTCTGTCACAAAGATGGATTTGGGAACAGCCAGGTTAAGTATGTGAGCCTTGGTGACACTTATTCTGGTGTTTCTGTGTCCTTCTTGGTTCCTTCTTGATTACAGATGGGGGAGGTGGTCAGCTGGCTGCTTTCAGGTAGATGAGGCACTCTGTCCCTCAGCAGAGCCACATGGGAGGCACCTGTGTCCACCTAGGAGTCTAACACTAAGAACCCTTGTCTTGGGTTTGACACGGTTTCAGGCAGAGGGAGGACAATCCTACCTTTTGGAACATGTTAGAAAGAAACCATGTGAAGTGTTTTAAGGAAATCCACACAGTATTGTAGTTCCAAAAGACCTACTTTTGGCACCTGTCTATACACCTTCAGTGTCCACTGTAAGATTAGATCTACCTTTCTGAGTTTGGCACTCAAAGCTCCTCCCGGCCTAACCCCGCCCCTTGTAATCTCATCTCTCACTGCTAAGCCCCATGCACCCTGCCAACTGGCCAAATCATCGGTCCCCACACACGCCAAGCACCTCATCCTCTGGTCTATGCCATTCCCTCTTCCTGAATGTTCTTCTTCCCATTTATTTTTTAAAAAAACAAAACTTGTATGTTCTTTCAAGACCCAAATCTTTTGAAACTTTGCTCTATTCTTTCCAAAAATCACCATATAAAATTAACTGCTGCCCCTTCTTCTGTCCTCCCACAGAGCTTTGTACACGCCTCATTATAGCATCTGTGACAATATATACTAATCATGTTGTCTCCAGCACTCAGTCCAATGCCTGGCACAGTGGATGCTCATTAAATATTGGTTGGATGGATGAATGAGTGAGCTCACAAATGAACAGGTAATGCTTTCCCCACTAGATTATGAGGTTCTCCAGGACAAGGTCCATTTTGCATTCCTAGTAAATGTTTGTCAACCAAGTCTCAGAGATGGCTAGGGCCCCAGGGCTCACATAGGCCACCCCTTTATTTAACAAGAAGAAAATGAAACCTGAGAAGTCACCTGATTCGCCCAAAATCACATAGTCAGTTAGTGGCAGAGACAGGGCCAGAAGTTGCATCTTCCCCTCTCCCCCTCAGGATTCTGTTTAATAAAAGCAACAATCATAATACACTGATATTTATTGAGCATTTACTATGTGCTGGGCACTGCACCAAATCCATTAGAAATTATACCATTGAGCTCTTACATTAAGTTTAATGATTACCATCACTTACACATTAAGAAAACGAGGCTTAGAGATGGTAACATACACAAAGCCCCGGAAGAGATTATACCCAGGCTGGCTGACAAATGCCCATGCTGTCACCCACCAAGCTATGCTCACTTTTATTTTATTTATTATTTTGTAGTTCTGAAAATATGTAATCTTTATTTTTGTTAAATTATAAAAATCAGATCAAAGACTAGAAGATAGTTAGCATGCAAATGTTACATATTTTACTTTATGTTTGTTTAGCAACTTTAGCAAAAGGTTGTCACATAAATCTTATGCATACTTGCCTATAAGGTAGGTTAAAAAAAGTACTATAATCCCTGTTAAATGTGGGTAAAGGCAGGGATCCAGAATGGCTCGTCTAGAGCCATCCAATGAATTAGAAAGTCTGTGCTAGAACCTGTATCTTATTACTCCAAATTACACGTTTAGATTGAAACTGGGGAAATTATGAATATCTTATTTATAGTAATAATTAAATATGAATGTGTACAGCGAAAACTATTTAACTTCTTCATAAACTGCTTAATTTCAAAGACAGTTATTATCTTATAAATAAATATGTGTTTCAAAATTTTGATTCAGTGAAAAGTGTAAGTCTGAGCACAAGCAATAGAACCCTGTCGAAGCAGTTTAGTCTCAGTGCTGACTAAACTGGAGGAATAAACTAAAAATCAGATGTCTTTATTTTTTTCTAGCCTAAGCAGAATGGTCTGTCTTTGTAATCTTTTAAAAATAATGCTGATCTATGGATCTCTGCCTGTAACAGAATGGAAATCTTATGGATTAGGTTTTCTCTGTCTTGAGCCACAGAAGGAAATACAGGCTCACTTTTATTTCTTTTCTAAAACATCTTTTCATCCTGTAGTCATTGTCCCCAGATGCTTGTTTAAAATTTGGCACTTGTGAGTCAGTGATGTCCTTTCTCCGTGCCCTGCCTGACTTTCTGAGCGTGTGTGTGTCAGGGAGCCACCAGCTGGCCCCGAAGTTGGTTCTATTTAAGGAAGAGAAGCTCCTTCCACAGCCGGCAGCCTGAGCTTCACAGCGCTTACCATCGTATGTCACGTATGGCACTTGGAACCCTCGGGCACTGTTCCCCTCATTGGATTTGAACTGAATCCACAGCTTCTTTGACCTGGAGGTGAAGGCGATGGGGCGTTCGTAGGTCTGGCAGGTCTCGTACGTGGTCACAGAGTTGGAAGAAGCTGCCAAGGGAAGTTGGAGAGGGTGGGGTTCAAGATCATCACTGAGCAGGCAGACAATGGACACTCATCTTTTCAAATGCTCACACATTAAACGAGTTGTGCTCTAGAGCTCTTCGGGCCCAGCTGAGCCATCCTAAGGGCCAAAGGCCTGGGAATGGAGTAGATGCATCTGGCGATGTGGCCCCCAAGGAGGCTAACTGAAAGGCCACTGCCAGGCACTCTGTGCAGGGGCTGAGGAGGGGCCTGCCATAATCTAGTAATTATCACCACCATTCACTGCGCACCTCTGGGACCAGGCAGTGTGGTACTAACCCTCTGAAAACCATAGGAAGTTTGTACAGTTGTTACCTGACCGGGGGCAGTATGTGGAAAAGTCAGGCAGGATTCAAACCCACACCTGACTTCAGGCATTGCAACCACCAATAAGAATAGCAAATACTTACATAGTAGCTCCATGTGTCAGTATTTTTCTAACTGCTTTATGAATATGAACTGATTTATTCCTCATGATAACCCTATGAGGTAGCAACTATTATTATCCCCATTTTAACAGATGAGGAAACTGAGGCACAGAAAATCCGGAATGTATGTCCAAGGCCACAGAACTCCCAAGAGGGGGAGCTGGGATTGGGGTCCAGGCAGTCTGGCTGCAGAGCCCACTCATGCTCTGCCTATTAGCTGTGTTAATGGCAGCATCCCTATGGACACTGGGTCATGTGTCAGGATGGGGGGGTCCTTCCTGGCTGGACTATGCCCTTTGCCCCGGTCAGTCCCCAAGCTATGAGTTGCTCCCAGGGCGAAGCAAGTGTTTGAGGCCAGCTCTGCATGAGCTTCACTGGCTCTGTGTCTTGCAGAAGAGGGTCCCCAGTGAGCAGAGGAAAAGACTGACCTGCAGGAACCCCACCACCTCTGGGGTTCAGCAAGAGGCCTCAATGTGGGGCTTTTGTCGAAATTTTATTTCTTGGCAAACTCTAAAAACTCCTGTCCCATCTCTCTTCTAATGCGAAGCTAGGCCTGGTTCTCACACTGCAAGCTGGGAGCACGCCATGAGGCTCCCCAGCCGGCTTTAGAAGGGAGGGGAGCGGAGGGAGCACGCACAGGTTTTCCGCATCACCAGGTAGTCTCCGCACTCGTCCTCTATGGGCAGGAAGATCTCGGGGACCACGATCAAGATGCGGCGCTTGGGGGGCGGGTTGATGGTCCACGTGCACTCCGTGTTGGCCGGGTAATTGCCTGGGTAGTTCGGGGATTCAATGTATCCGGTGAAATCCCCCAGCTCCCCTCCACATCTTCTGTCTGGAAGAGAAAATGTCATGAGCTATGAAAGCACAGCACAGTCGTCACTCTGCAACGGCCACCACAGCTTGGCTGAAGAGAACCACGGCGTCCCTAGTGCCATCAAGGCTTGGGGCCTGGAGACTATACCACCTAGGACTGAGTTTGTCCTGTAGTGCCCAAGATCCCCTCTGGGAGCCCAACTACATCAAGTCCCCACGCAGAGCTCATCCCTTTTAGTTCCTGGCACTGTTTTCTCATTAACTTGAAAGCGCTCAAGGCCAGGGTCAGGCGTTTGTGAGACAAAAGGACAACTTTAGTTTTCAACATTTTGTTTACTGAGTGCAAGTGCCAGGGACCCATGACACAGAACTAGGCCTGTTGAAACAGGGAGAACAGAGCTTGCGGCTCAGTGGAGGATGCCTGACCCTTCCCTAGGATCTTTGATGAAGACATGACAGCCATTTCCTTTCTCTTTCCTCTCTGGCCAAGACCACGTTTTATTTTTAAATGGGAAAGAGATTACTTATCAGTCAGTATGGGGCCAGCTGGATACTCACCCCTGGCACCAAAGGCAAGAAACATACACACTTGGTACACACACACACATGCACACGCACAGGCACACACTCCACCTCAGCCAAGTCTTCATTCACTGAATCTCTACTCATCCAACAAATGTTATAAAAAAACTCAGGGATCAGAAATGAGAAAGACACAATCCTTGCCCTCAAGGTGTTTATTGTTTAAAACTATCAAGTGAACCTACGCAAGAGAAGATATTGAAGGAGTTTACTTTTCCCCCTCTAACTGCAATAGGAATGTATTATTCCCAGTAGAAAAATAAATAAATAGGTTTTCCTTCCTGGAAGAGAAGAGGGGGAGCAAAGAGCCATGGAGGTGAGAAAACTGCCTTCAAGCCTGCGTGGCTTCGGACCAACAAAGGCCCCGCGTGTGGGAGCACAAGGAAACAGACTTCACCTTGGTGTCGGGAAGGATCTTGTAGCACCGTGAATGGCCCCACATCTAATCCACCAACAGTCTAGGATATCACGAGAGTAGTAAGCTTCTTGTCATAGCAGGTATTCAAGAAGAAACCAGAGGGCTACTTGTGAGGACATCGTTAAAAAGGACTTCACTGGGACAGAGAGAAAACTGGATAACCTTCCAATCAAAACTCAAATGACTCACTGCCCCCTTCAGTCCCAAACTCCTCCAGTTCGGGGAAGCCTCCTTGCTCGCCTACATTGCCGTGCTAATAATACTATATCAGCTGAAATTTACTTTATTAGAGCATTTTACACACTGGTTAAAAACCAATCAACCAACCCCATAATAAGTCATTGAATGATTTGCTTCCTCATTTTCATAAAATACAAATCAAACTCTTAGTGTGGGTTGAGGGCTTTCCTTCCTGGTCAACGTCAGACTCCGTTCATTATATTCCATGATCAGGTTCAGGGGGCTCCTCCCTAAAAATCTTTACTCTTCTGAGGCTGTGCTCCCTCCGAGCTACTCTCTTGGGCATCAGGCTCTTTCTCCTGCTCTGCCCCATCCTCCCCATCAAACCTTCCATGCTCTCCAGACGCCTTTCCTCAGCTCTGCAGACAGAACAAATTGCTCCCTCCTTTGCAATCCCACAGCCTGTGCTGCCCATAAGGACAGGGACCTGTTCTGCTTGGAGTGCCTGGCACATAGCAGTCCTCAAACAATGCTGGCTGCACAGGGCTGAACTGAATTTACGGCAAGTATGGCCTGTAAGTGCACCTGGAGAAGTAGCCAGGATCAAAAGAGGTGGCTCCCTAGGGACCAAGATCTGCTCTCCTTCTGTGCTGGTCTGCAGAGTCATGAGCTGGGCTCACGTCTACATGGTTCTGAATGAACCTGGGAACACACACACACACACACACACACACACACACACACACACACACCCCGCCCCCAGGTGGACCCGGGCACCGGCCATCGCAATCAGGACTGAAAAGCCTTAGAGAGAAACCTACTTTTACACTGGGTTATGTTTGTGGAGCCATCAAAGTCAGTCGTTGTATTTCCTGGGCAAGAAACACAATTATTTTTTCCAAATTCAGGCTGATATGTTCCCGCTGGGCAGCGAATACATCGGTGAGTGGTGGTGTTGTAGAAATGTCCAGGCGAACACTGAACTGTGGGGCGTGGAGGGTGGAGAGAATGAAAAAAGAGAGACTATTTTCATCCAGTGCAACATAAAAGGTTTCACAGTTCGTGTAATAAATTTTTATCCCAAAGGAAGTACTGCTTTCTTACTAATCCAGGGCTAATCAACACTTAATTCCCTAAATAGCCAGCTTGGGTGGGACTTATGACTCATGTCTGAGAAAAATGCAAAGGGAACAAAGTGCGGGTGTATCTTCAAAGAGTTTATGGGCCGTGCAGAGTCAGGCATATAAACAGTCACAACCCGAGTCTCCGAATGTGAGTACTGAGGGTGCAGAACTGACACTGGGTGTGGAGCTGGGTTCCTCGTGTTTGGGGGATGGGGGTGCAACTCTAGGTAAGGCTGGGAGGAAGGAGCTGAGGAACCCTGTGTATACCTGCTTGTCTCTCCCTGGTTGTCCCTGCAGTCAGCCCTGTCTAAAGGGGTCCAGGTGTCTTGGGGGAGACCATGCTCCCTGCACATCCGGCAGGGATGGATGGAGCAGGACCTGACCCTGGCCACTGGGGCACCATACAGGGCACCTCTGGGCTGGGCTTGATGGGAGCTTAATCAGGCTCCCATGGTTCTGAAAGGGGAAATTCAGTTCTGGAAAAAGGCAAGCTGCCGCGTCCTCACCTCTTGTTTCGCAGTCCTGGAAGGAAGTGGCTCCCAGGTGTTTGGTGGGGAGGCCTCCCCCACAGGAGAAGCAGGAGGTGCGGCCGGCTTCAGGCTGGAATGTGCCCAGGGCACAGAGCTGGCAGGGGGCAAAGCCATCCGCAGAATATTCACCAGGTTGACAAAGACCTGGGGGACCAATGACCCTAGGTGAGCAAGGCCCCCGGGGCAGACCCTTTCCCATCTCTCTGCAAATGAGAGCAGACTTTGGGCAGGCCTGTCGCCCTGTGTCGACCTCAGCTCCTGCCTCAGCGAGGAGCCCTATCCTGCCCTGCTGCTGAACCCCACTAGGAAGCTGTGAGTGCTTGGTGCTTGCACACAGGGCTACACAGCACAGTGCAAAGATGGAGACCAGGGAGCCAAGTGCCAACTGCTTCCAGAGTGTGGAGCAGGCCTGGGCATGCTTCAGGCTTAGGGCTACATGGAGCTCAGGCAGAGAGGGTTCCGGAACCCGGAGAGAGGGTTCTCTCAAATCAATTTGCTTATTTGATCCAGAAGTGCACCTTCACCCAGCTGATTACATCCTGGTGATAGTTTCACCAACTATATTTACTTCTCCTTACCCTGAGCTATGTCCTGGCCTCCCTCCCAGTCCACATTGACAGAAGGACCCAGTGGTCTTTAAGCACCTTACTTTATTATTATTTTTTAATTTATGACAAGAAGCACAGCCATAAACAAAAGAATTTCTAAAATACACATTCCTTAAGAATTAGCTTGTCAGTGGCAAGATGCTATAAAAATCTGTTGTCTCTTGTATTCCTAACCAGTAATTTTCATGGTCTTCTTTCTGCCCAGAAGTTATAGCTAGGATGGCATTTAACGAACACACCCCCAAAGGAGGATCTGGAGTCTGTCAGACCTGGCATCTGACTCTGAATCCTCTACTCCTTGTCTGTGTGACCTTGAATGAGTCACTTTAACTTCATAAAGCTGTCCTAGTGATACAACCATATGGAAAACTCATTTGATACACTTAGTATAATTCCTAGCATAGGTAAAATATTCAATAAATGTTAGCAATTATTATTATCATTACTACTACTATTCTTATTACTATAAATATATCTTAATAAGGTCACATACAAGTGTGAACAGTTGCCCCAAAGTGCCTCCTTATCAACTTTGCAGTTAGTTCCAGGGTTTCATAAAAAGCCAAAGATAATGGTAGGAGTCACACTCAACCTGAGAACCTGATTTTTAAACCAGGAAAGGTGTTGCAGTTGAGCTTGGAGTCATCCAGGTGGAAACTAAAGGTGGTTCTGGGAGTCACAGGAAGGAGAGGCAGGGGTCACGGGGGGTCCTGTGCACCCTTCCACAGATCACACCTTTCACTGAGCCCACAGTATCAGAACAGCTGGTCTTTCTTCCATTTACTAAAGGGGAAGACAATTACTAATAAAATAAATAGGAAAGAAGCCCACTGGACCTAAGTGAGCTTGCTCCAGATAACATTTTATAAGAGATGATTAAAAACTCTTATAAGTAAGAGTTTTAAAAAATAATCAGATGGATACGTTTTAAAAATCAATACCCTATGAATCTAAGACCAAAGCTGGAAAAAGAATCAGAACTATTTTCTCCATTTTAACATTTTCAACAGTCCCTACACACCGGACGATCAGAGGTCTCAGGGTATATTTATTTACAGTGAATGCGGCATGCAATTGCAGTGTTTACACCCTTTTTTACCTGCCAATGTATTCTATCAGATATTCACTTGTTTATTCAAGTGAGCATCTCCCAGTCTGTGTCCGGCACGGAGCTAGGTACCGGAAAGTCAAAGAGGAACCCAGCACGGCCCAGTTCTGGAAGCCCCCGGCAGTGCGCACCGTCCCTGCTGCAATGCACTTATGCCTCTGTCTGAACAATGACGCTGGAGACTGGAAGAGCAAGAAGGGGCGGGCAAATCCTTACCTCCACATTCAGACACATTCCAAGCGTCTGGGCTCTTCAGGGCCCCGAGGTTTTCTGGTCTTGGGCACGGCTCACATGTGATCTGTCCTTCCTCATTTTGGAAGGTTCCATTTGGACATAAAATGCAGCGTTCTTGTGATCCATCATAATATGTCCCAGCCCTGCAACTGACTAGCCAAAGGGGGAAACAATCTGGTCATTGAGGGGCTAGAGGCCAAGGAAGGACAATGTGAATACTAAAGATGAAGGAAAACCAATGGCATTGACCACAAACTCCCCATAATAACCCCCTGGACACAGAATGTGCAGCACCCCTGGGTTCTCTGTGCATACTCCTCTGTCATGATCCCTGTCACCACTGTTAGAGGCATTTGTAGGTCTTCTCCCTAGACCGTGAGCTCTGGGGCTCATTAGGATCACAGTGGTCCTAATTATTTTTGAACACAAGCATCTGATGATTTTCCCTACTTCACAGGGTGCCACCAGAAGGATGATAAAGTCAAAAATCACTCATTGAACATAGGCATAGTAATGGAAGAACAGAGAAGAGGCTGGTGGCAACCTAGAAGGCTTCCTAGGGGAGGTCACATTTGTATTGGGCCTTGAAGGATGAGTAGGATCTCCCCAGGTAGAAAAAGGGGAAGGTTGTAAAGGTTGTAAAGATTCATGCATGACATAGGAGAGGAGAGGGAAGAAAGGAAGGTAGGGAATGGGTTGAAAAGTTCTTGAATGCCAGGCATTTGGACTTTATTCTGCAGGTAAAGGAGTCATGGAGAGGAGAGAAATACACCCAGAAGGTGTGTTATGAAGAGCTCACTCTCTGGTGGCTATGGGGAGAATGATCTTAAGGGTCTTACGGATAACTCTTCAAAGTAGCTCACTTCACATTTGTAATACAATTAATATGTTACAAAGAGTAAACCCTTGTCAATATATCCTGGAAGAATAAACTACAGGGAAATTAATAAACTATGCTTCTGATTATATTTCTGGTGTTGATAGTTAAGTGTGGATTTATATCTTATTTTAGGATGTGAATGTAAAGTAAATACACTAAATTGAGTTCCCTAGTATAATATTCAAACACCATCATCATAACCATCAAAATAACCTTTCTAACGGCTAAGATTTGTTCAGTGCTTACAGTCGACTAGGTACCATGCCAAAAGCTTCACATTCATTATCTCATTTATTCCTAAAAACAATGGCAAGGAGCTAGGTGTTATTATTGGCTCCGTTTTACAGAAACAGAGACTTAGGGACCTTAAATAATTTGGCCAAGTTCCCACAGCTAGTCTGTGAGATACACCTAAGGTGAGATCGAGAGCTTCGAGTTTAAGAGAGAAAAATGTCATTTAACAAAAATACAGACTGAATATCAATTCAATACTTTCAAGAATCCTCTATGGGGCACCAGGGGAAGTTGGGCTGGAATAAACGCCTTCTCTTCTCTACTTAAGATTCCAAGAAATAGAAAACCAAACCTCGCAGGATAAAATGAGCTATTATACCTCTTGAATGTCTGTGAGGGGGGATATCTGGTTTCACTCTATCTTACCAGTGCAATCCGCATATATGCTTTTAGGGTTAAACATGACAAAGTTCTTTATTGCCAGTAATAAAAACGTCTTTTCATTATTCACTCTATAATTTCTAAAAATGAGGCTTTTAAAAAATCATAGTAAGCCAAAAGAAGCCACATTTCAAATATTATTTCTACGACTGAATGCAATCAATCAGTAAGGTCTACTTTAAAGGCTAAGTCTTAATATTTTTAAAAATCGTTTGGATTTTCTTTTACAATACTCACATATCATTTTTATTTAATTTTATGATTTAAAAAAAATTAAAAGTGAACCAAACTCTTGCTTTCTTGGCCAACAACAGTGTAATGAGTATGACGCGTAGATCTGTGACAGCGAAGCCAAGCTATTCTCTAAATGCAGCCCTACTGGATAACGGTTTCCATAATGGCTCTGATTTCAGCTTATCTCCCCTGAAAAGCTGAGCTGAATTAGGTACTAAGAATGCATGACTTTATCTTGTGTCCCACCTGACTATCCCGGTGTCCACAGCAGGCCAGTAAATGAGAAAATAATCCCTTCACACCTCTAACAAGCCAACCATCATGAAGACGGGCAGAAAGTAAATGAAACTTAGGCTGTTTCTGGAACCTCTCTAGCCCAAGCCATTTCCATTTGGGAACAGTTTTTTTTTGTAACACTCATTCACCTAAAGGGAAAGAGCCCGTTTGATGGCAGTGATTGCAACAGTCCCATTAATTATAACCTAGAGCCAGGTCAGCATGCTCTGTTCCATCGTAGGTCCTCTGGAAGAAAACGGATCCCCTCCATGGGCAGACAGCAATGGCCCCGGGTCTCGCTGAAAAGAGGAACTGGAGGGGCTCCCCCGGCTCTGGGTGTCCAGTCCTACTTAGAACTAGTTACCCGCCCCCACCAAAGCCTTTTCACGATTACATTTTGAGAAGCCTCACAATATCCCACATCTGCTGCAATTCCTCAACTGAACAGAGGGCTGAGGAATGCCCCTGGGGCTGCCCTGCGGAAAAGAGGGCACCAGTTCTTTTCTCTCCCGGTGAAAGGCCTGCTCCGCATAAACAAACTCATACTGTCACTCACAGTTACCATTTTCCTTCCAGAAAGACCCACAGAAATCATTCACGCCAAGCACCTTGCACATTAAGTTGTTTCTTTTCACAAGGTAAAAATGAGCTAAACACTAAAAAGTGATTCTGAAATGTCATGAAGAGACTCCTGAAAACAGCTCTTTGCAAATGCACTGAAGATCTGGCCTGAAGAGACCTCACTCACATGTTCCAGTAGGTTCTTTTCTCCTTGAGCGGCCAGCTTGTTTGGCCGCCCCAGACAAAGGAGTCAATTGCCCCCAGAACACTTCGTGATCACAGCAAAGCTTTTGTGTGTCTTCAGTGACCATTAAAATCCCATCCTCAAATCCCACACAGCTGTTTTCTCCCTCTCTTTAAAAAAAAATACAAGAAAGCTTTTCTGATGCAAAAGGGAGAGACCAGCGGGACCAGGATTAATGGCGACAAAGAGACCTGAAGGCTTGCCCTCTTTTCAGCACCACCGCCTTTGAGTGTTTCAGGCTATGGACAAACACTATGGTGTCTCTGTGGCTAAGATGGTGAACCTAATAAAAGAGGTCACTCTCTAGCATCGGACTGTTTTCTTAAGCATCACGCCTTGACTTCTGAAGGAAAGCCACAAGCAGCCCACAGGGATTCCCAGGGTGACAGGGAGCTGTGCTTTGTCACAGCTCAGAGGGCACAGTGCTCTAAGCTGTGGCCTCAGGATCCGAGTTTGAACTACTTTTAAATGAGACTTTCAGGATAACAGGAGAACCCCGTGGGCTTGATTTGTCATGTCTGCCCAGGTTTTTGGTGTATGCTCAGGTTTGCATTTTGAAAACATTCTTAAAGTTGGGGCAGAGACATGAGTCCTGCTTGACACCTTCCTCGCTGGGCTCCCCAATGCGTGCTATGTTTTCTTCGTGCCTAGTTAACTGGGGCTGAGGTTTCACTTCCTTCAGAGGGCCTCTTTTGCCCTCAATTTAGATATTTCCCCAAAGATTTGCCCTTTCCTCTCCTTTCTCTTAATGTTGGCAACTGTCCTTGGAATTTCATTTGTTGTTGCTCTGAAGATTCACTTACTCTTTCATTCAATTAAATACTTACTGAGCACCCATGACTCCATAGTCAATTAATATTTGACAAAGGAGGTAAAGACATACAATGGGGTAAGGACAGTCACTTCAATGAATGGTGTTGGGAATATTGGACAGATGCTTGCCAAAAAAGTGAAACTAGACCATGTTCTTACACTGTACACAAGAATAAACTCAAAATGGATTAAAGACTTAAATGTTAGACTCAAAACCATAAAAATCCTAAAAGAAAACATAGACAGTAAAATCTCGGAAATTTCTCATGGCAATATTTTTTCTGATATATCTCCTCTGGCAAGGGAAACAAAAGAAAAAAGAAACACATGGGACTACATCAAGCTAAAAAGTTTTTGGACAGGAAAGGAAACCATCAACAAAATGAAAAGACAGCCCACTGATTGGGAGAGCATATTCACCTCTGATAAGAGGTTAATATACAAAGTTTAGAAAGAACTTATAGAACAAACAATCCAATTGAAAAATGGGCAAAGGACCTGAATAGACACTTCTCCAAAGAGGACATACAGATGGCCAAGAGACATGTGAAAAGATGCTCAACACTGCTAATCGTCAGAGAAATGCAAATTTAAACCACAATGAGATATAACCTCACGCCTGTCACAATGGCTATGATCAGTAAACCAACAAATAAGTGCTGGCGAGGGTGTGGGGAAAAGGGAGCCCTCATGCACTGTTGCTGGGGATGCAGACTGGTGCAGCCACTGTGGAAAGCAGTATGGAGTTACCTCAAAAAGTTAAAAATGGAGCTGCCTTATGACCCAGCGATTCCACTTCTGGGAATTTATCTGAAGAAATCTGAAACACTAATCTGAAAGAATATATGCACCCTTATGTTCACTGCAGTGTTATTTACAACAGCCAAGATTTGGAGCAGACAATGTGCCCATCAGTAGATAAGTGGGTAAAAAACTAGGATACATTTACACGATGGAATACTACTCACCTGTAAAAAAGAAGGAATTTTACCCTTTGTGGACCCCATGGATGGACCTGGAGAACACATACTAAGTGAAATAAGCCAGTCAGAGAAAGACAAGTACCAAATGATAACACTCATGTGGAATCTAATGAACAAAATGAACTAACAAGCAAAATAGAGACAGACTCATAGATAGAGAACAGGCTGACAGCTGTCAGCAGGGTTGGTGGTGGAAGGATTGAACATAAAAGGAAAAAAGGGAGAAAAAACTCATGGACACCGACAAGTGTGGCGATCGCCAGGAGGAGGGGGAGTGCGGCAGGCAAGGGTAAGAATAATTCGGAGCCTATCACAGCAGACTGGACAGGAGACGATGGTGGTTTGGAATAGAGTAGTGATCATGAAGGAAAAGCAGTTAGATTCAGGATATAATTTGAAGGCAGAGCTGGCAGGATTTGCTAATGGACTGGATGGGGAACATGACAGAGAGAGGTTGAGAAGACTCAGAGGTTTTTAACTAGAGCAA